GTGGTCCGTGCGGTCTCTGATCCGTTAGCACTGACGTTCCATCCTCCCCACGAGGTGCCCCGTGCGGTCTCTGATCCGTTAGCACTGGCGTTCCATCCTCACCACGAGGTGGTCCGTGCGGTCTCTGATCCGTTAGCACTGACGTTCCATCCTCCCCACGAGGTGGTCCGTGCGGTCTCTGATCCGTTAGCACTGACGTTCCACCCTCCCCACGAGGTGGCCCGTGCGCACCGGATCAGTTCCGCTGTTCCGGCGGACGCTGTGTCCAGCAGTCGGCTGTCTGCAACGGCGTCTGCGACTGCGCCGAGAGCTGCGCGGACGAGAAGACGTGCGATCGCCGCTACACCGTCACGCACGGTGAGAGGATCCGGCGTGGACACCACAGTTGGGTACAGTGATAAAGGTGCGCAATACAATGGTGGGCGGTGTCAGTGGCAGTTACGTGTTACGTTATCAATGACGAGCGATTCCAGCAGTGGATAAGCGCAAGGCCACCAATGATGAGAAATTCAGTGGCAGGTATCAGGTTTGAATGACGAGTAATCCAGCCAGCAGGTAACAAAGGTTAGCGATGCTGGGAATACCAGGAGCAGGTATGGAAAGCATAAGCTACCAATAGTAAGGGATTTCAGATGCCGATAAGCATTCAATTGCCAGTGGTGAGCAGTCATAGATGCTGATAAGCTAGGCTACCAACGATGATAAATTCAAGCGGCGAAGGAGGAAATGTGGCGAATAGCCCCACCACCAGGTGAGTTGGGGTTACCAACTTGGAGCAATGCCAGTGGCGGGTGAGTACAAGTACATCTGGTCCCCAATGGTAAACAGTCCTGGTCGCTGGTAAGTACAAGTTCACCAACCGCGAGCAACTATAGTGGAGACTACGTACAGTGCTGCGAATGGTGGGCAATGCCAGTGGTAGATAAGTACAAGCTATTCTAAAATGACAGGCAATCCCAGGCCCCGGTCAACGCTCTCAATGTCGAGCCGTCTCAGCCACCAGCACATCCAGATTTCCACTGGCCTGTTGCGCATGTAATTAGAACTGCAGACGACGGATCAGGCCCAGATGGCCAGCTGTCAATTTTGTGCGTGACCATGCTTGTGCTGCTTGTTTTTTGACACTTTTTCACGATGGACTGGTGTCCTCAAAATACGCTCTTTGAAAAATTTAGATTTTACTATGAAGTTTTAGTACAAACAACACACTCTAAACTCTTTTGTTTGACGTTTCGTAGGCATGTGCATATGCATGCATCAACAATGCAGAATGGTTAAGTGTCAATGCATGCAATGTGCGGCATAATTATGCTCGCACAAGACTGTGGAACCGCGCCATCATTTCAGCCGTCACATTCCATTTTTGCTATTGCTAGGGTACAGAAAGAGAGTACCCACGTGCTCGTGGACGCTCCACACATGCATTGTTTACCTCTACGATTTTGCTGACTGTAACAGCATGTGTAACAGCAAATCAGCCAGGCAAGTATCATGGAATGTCGCCATGAGTTGTTGGGTTTTGCTACCATCGGGGACAAACCACAACTCAAAACATTCGATGATTGGGGGAGGCGGCTTGTAATCCTGGTGACGGCACCGAGCAGACCCCTGAGCAGTCCTGGGCCCGGCGATGCACTGAGTGCCGCTGCAGGCATCAGCCATGTGGGCACGCTCCCTGGCGGCGCTGAGCGGGCGTCGGGTGTGGCTGCTCGCAGGCGTGGTGCAGTGCGTGGACAACCGGACGTGGCCCTGCTACTCGCCCCGGCAGGACATGCCCATGACCTGCATCGGCTCCGAGTTCATCTGCGACGGCCAGGTGGACTGCCTCACAGACGGCGTGGTGCACATGTCCGACGAACAGAGCTGCCGTGAGTGTCGAGTGCCGAGCGCATGGCTCAGTAGCGCGTTCGGAGCCCCCAGTCGCTCGCGCAGCTTTCACCATTATGCATGTTCCGTGTCCCGCGCTGTTGTTTGCGGCGCCGTGGCAGGGTTTGGATAAGTCCTGCGGAGAGGGCCGTGTTGTGCTTCACTTTGCCAGCGTAGTTCCATTTATCGTGAGAGTTCCGGGCCGACGTTCCGCTCGGGGCATTCTGCAGGGGCTATTGTGCAAGCACAAGAACTTCCGGGTAGCCTTTCTCTTGTATTCCGCTCAAAGCCTTCCCAAGCTGCTCTCAAGTAGTTTATTTTGCTCCAACCTTGATCCGCTTAACCTTGGTTCTTTTCTGGTGTTTGCGTTTGCTTTTGAGTCAGTCTTAGCTTCACTGAGAGCCAAGTGGGCCGTTGGCAAAGTTCATACATGAGATGTAAGACTACCGGATCCGCGGTGCATTTCATTCCAATAAAGGTTTTGTGAATAACAAATATTTACATCATCTCTCGCAAGGGAAACAACTCTGACAGGAGGCATGACAAAGTCGGGTAATTGCGGCACTGGTTTTGCCTCGGCCACTCATACGCCGGATGCAGGTCATCGAAACCCGGCGGCTCAGCCGCCTCTCATATGGGCAAAACCGGCTTGCATATCTACCACGTCCCATCGGCAGAGCTGTGTTTTTAACAGCAGGAAGCGGGACGGGGGGGGGACCCATAGATTGTCCAGGACCATGAAGCCTGCTTCCTCCTTCAATTTCAGCACGTTGTGTCAGCTGAAATGGTGAACATTTTCCGATCTTCCAAGCTTTGCAGCTCATTGGCTAGGTGCTAGTTTCGTGAGATAGCATCGGTTAATGTTCTTGAGCGCCGACATTTACCTGTTTATCAGAGCACGTGGATATCATGGTTTTCGGAAAATAACCTGTCTTTGTCAACGCCATGTCGTTAAGGAACTAACGTTTACTACGTAAATAAGTTTATGTGAAACTTTTGCAGTGATTCAATATCATCGTCGAAGCTGCAGACGGTAAGTGTAGGGTCTTTCCCAAGTGGTCTCACCTAGTCACGACAAGAAGACGTCGGTATTATTTGACATGCAACGGTTTTTCTGCTTATCAAAAGTTGCGCAGGGGCAGCAAGAACAAAATATGGGCTGACTTGTTTCAGCCAACCTGACAAATCATCCAAATGGACACCTAGGGGAGAAAGCTTGTCACACAAGCTGTACGTTACGTACCCTTCCTTCCTTCCTGCGCCCCAACAGCTGCAGGTTTTACACGGGGCGATTTTTTCCTTCAAGCGATTCGTGCGAAATCCATTTGAATTGATTGATACCAGGGCCGTGCCGACCGAGGGCGGACGCATTCTGAAGCATCAAAGTCGGCGAAATGCGGAGTGCCGGTGAGGGTGAGGGTCACCCTGAAATCTTCTTGTAAATGCGGAGTGCCGGTGAGGGTGAGGGTCATCCTGAAATCTTCTTGTAAATGCGGAGCGCCGGTGAGGGTGAGGGTCACCCTGAAATCTTCTTGTAAATGCGGAGTGCCGGTGAGGGTGAGGGTCACCCTGAAATCTTCTTGTAAAACTGTCCTCGAGAAGCCGTCTTCAGTTTATTGCCTCGCATAAATTTAGAATGCCAAATTAACAAATGTAATTGAAAAACCTTCCGCTGATCCAGGTCATCCATCTGGCAGACCTGCGCCCGGTGCGATCTTGATCGCGACCTTGACCCAGTTCCTCATGGATCCGGCCCAACGGTCTGTCGCCGTGCGCAGCGGAGGCCTGAGGCAATCCGGCCTCTGGTGTCGTGGTCCACATCGGAGCGACAGTCGGCCAGCTCCATGAGGCCGGTCACATTCCCCCGGGCGGGTTTTCGGGAATCGGACGGAGACGCGCGTCGCTGGGCGCGGGCGCCACGCCGCCGGGGCAGACGGGGGGAGGGGGCGTCGGCGTTGTCGCTGCTGCCAGATGGTGTGGGGCCGCAGGCTGCAGGGCGGTAAGGCGGCTCCCCGAGGGAGCAGCTTTGACCGCAATCTCGTGCAGATGGCCTTCTGAGTATTGTCGAGGGTGTTTCCTGTGTGCCCGAATGTATGCAGTTCAAGGAGCCTTCCGTCGTGTTCTCCACGGCAGTGCTTCACGATATGACAGCAGTGGCGGCACGGCTGATGACAGTTGTGTTAACATCCTGTTGATAAGAGTTGAACGCACAGAATATTGCAGCAATACGGATCGTGCCGCCTGCATCACACAGTCGCCCAACAAAATCTTAAGTGAGGGCAAGAGCACTCAGCAGTCACCTGGCACCCGTGTTGCAGTAACGGACTGGGACTTTGCGAGGAAACAAAGTTCTGTAACCGGCAAAACGAAAACGCGTCTGAGACGGCGAATCCTAGTCTACTGCCGATGTATTTCTCCATCCATTTTCTCAACTACCGCGTCCGGCTTCTCCAGGATTCCCTCCGTTTCCCGATGGCTTTATATCACGGCTCTTGTGACTGGGGAGCCATCGGCTATTTCCCGTTTCTGAGTGCCCGCTGCCGCTTGCTGCCGATTGGCGTGAGGATACTCTGGGCGAGTGGCCATCCCCTCGATGTGGAGGGCACCGCATGAGAGCACGACGCAGGTGGTGTGACGTCACTGGGCCTTCCCAACCGACTCAGGGGACCATCAACAGGCGGTATTCAGTGGACGGGGGATTATATGCAAAATAGCGGGCGGTCAAAGCAGCTTCGCGCTACAGCCATTGCGTTACATGAATTGATAATCGTATTGTTCAAAGATTCCGCGCTTGCTTGGGGTCTTATCTCATTACGCCGACATCAATGAATGATCTTGATATTAGCGAACATCAGTAATCCTGAGACGAATCCGCGATCGTTATCCGTTTGTGGGACATTGCCATTTCGGGATTACTCATAGGGAATGTTCCGGTTTAGTATATATCAGGTAGCACAAATGGTAACCACCCTAATGTGCCCTGTATAGTCATTACTCAGCGATTTATTGGTACACACACACACACACACACACACACACACACACACACACACACACACACACCACACACACACACACACACACACACACACACACACACACACACACACACACACACACACACACACACACACACACACACACACACACACACACACACACACACACACACACACACACACACACACACACACACACACACACACACACACACACACACACACACACACACACACACACACACACACACACACACACACACACACACACACACATATATATATATATATATATATATATATATATATATATATATATATATATATGACATCTTGCTTGGATGTGTCCACTGCGTATATTGCCAAACACACTTAGTCCCATATCAGGGATTTTAAAATGAGACGGCCAAGTTACAGCTCACAGGCCACTTAGAATTGTACTACCGAAGACATCAAAAACGTAAAACCCGACGGAGAACACAGAAGGACGATATGTTATCGCCTTTTGTAGACACCTTTGATATTACTGAGATAGCTCGTGCAGTTCACCCATGCAGTTTGACATCCCGTTCCACAGCTTTGTAATTTTGTCCGCCAAGATTACAGAGCGCCAAAATTGTTAGGCGCCACTCGGATGGCGTGTGCTCGCGCAATCACTCACCTTGTGAGTAGGAAAAGACCACGACGTCACCATAAGCGGAGCAAGGAACGTGAGCAAATAATGGGTTAGTATTTCGTAAATGTGGGAGACTTTTGATGTCAGGGTTCCAAGCCCTGTCAGCTACCTTGTAACAGACCTTTTCCAGCGGGAGAAAATGTCTATGTCCCCATGCAGGTTTGAAGGTCACGGGCTGGGGTGGAAGGCAGTACGCAACAATACATGCGATATTTTTTTCGAGGTGGATTCGTCACGAGACCCGCCGGGCCAAGGGTGCCACACGGCATTAGGTCAGTCACCCTCCGCCCTGATTTTACGCTGAGCCTGTGCCGGTATTGCTTTAGCCCCCTCATTTTGAACCATCATCATCCTCCCTCAGCTGCGATCAGCAGACCGGGTAGTTGAGCCCTTCTTATCCGGCTATGCACCTGGTTAAAGACACTATGTGTACATGTGATATCCAGCACTGCCTTTTGCTTTATGGAAGGGCATGCAACTTTATGATCAGGCATCGCCATAGTCTTTTAAAGGACATTAACAGCAAAATCTTCCTGAGAGAGCTACAAACATACTCCAACTTAGCTTTCAGCACAGTGTGCTGATATGTCCGGGGGATTCACAGCATCCATATCGGATCATGCACCTTCAATTCAAGGTGTGCTGTGGTTTTCAGGAGCCCTCGAAACCCATCTCTTTCGAGGCACATTGACCTAGGTGCTTGGTTGCACCATTTTTTTTGTGCCCATTTGTTTGCAACAGTCTTCATGCCCGTCGGGAATTCCAGGATGCTACTCAAGTCATATTTCTGTAGTTTTATGAATGCTTCCAAGAGCTTGGCCTACCACGCATCATCTTAATTGTCAAGGGATTCTTTGACGGCTTATAGCATAACTTCTTTTTTGTTTTTGCTCGACAATGAATATCTCATTTGCTGAGGCTCCAAGTTAGCTTTGGTTGCGAACTAAATGCTTTTCTCATTTCCGTTCGAGTCCTTTTGCCTGAATGCGATATGTTTTTGTTCTTTAATTTTCAGCACGGCCCGCGATGCTCTTCCCTGACCAACCGCTCGGCGTATTTTCAGCTTGTTCGCTTACTTGTTAGCATTGTGGTCACTGGGGATGCTTAATTATCTGCAAAACGTCGTTAGCAGCAAAGATGGTGCCATTTAGGTCCAAAATGGCGCAGCTCAAGTGCATTTGCGAAGGACATTATGCAAATAGATGAGGCAGTATATATAACGTTATTCCTTGTTGAAGAACTAGGAGATGGAGAGACATGTGATGTTTTGGATGATGGATGTGATATTTTGGGTACATATCTTTATCAAAATAAAGATCGGTAATAAATTAAATTTAATAGTTAACTACTTCTGTTTGTTTCCATAAAGGCATGTAGCCAAAATATTACATATATCTCTCCATTCTCCTGGTTATTCTACGGGAAATAAGGTTATTAGTACTGTTGCATTCACCTTTAGGTCCCATTTTTTCGATCCATGGGTTATCACCAGCTTGCTGCTCTGTAGTCACACGAACCGTAGGAGGATTGTTCTGTAAGGCACCTGTCACATTCCTTCTGCTTTCGTGGTGACCCTGGGATTGCTTTTCACTGGAATTACCGAGTTCCCTTGTGACCCGCCGACTTAATGGTGGCAACGATACCGCGTTTGTGCGGTCGTTTACCTTGCCGCAATAACCACATATATGCCTCCTGTTGCGGCGCACCGTCCCACTTTTTATAATGATAAAAGGGCCCGAAATGCCCAGAGAAACCCTGGAGCCTGGCCTTCCAAGAAAGGTCGTTTTTAGTGGATCAGCTCGGCGCCCGCCAGACCACCTAAAGATAATTTGATCATTTAAAGCCCCCGGTATTCTTTTGGTCTTTGTTCGCACAGTGATTCTCTTGTACATCACGGACGATCTGTAGACGGCCTTGATATAAACAATCTCTTAGCCATTTAGACATTGCGTTAAACTGAGCTCGTCAAAGCTATTACAGACTTTGCAGTTTCCTCCGTCATACTGAACACCACTAACTGCAGCAAGCAAATGTCAAAAAGAAGGTTAGGGCATTAAGGCCAAAACTTGTTCCGTTTTGGCAACGATTACCTCGGCCCAACGATTGCGCGCTTCACCGAGCCAGGAATAGCGCTGTTGGCATTAAGGCCCAATGTTTTGTCACATTGTTTTAGCCCCAGCCGGACACGCAGTGAAATAATACGTAAAAGCACTCTTATATCACCGTTCGCAGGAATAAACAGACATAATACAACTCTTTTGAGCTAAAGACGCCGAAAACCGTATTGTCACGAAAGCATGCATTGGTAAGATTTGCATCGTAATGCAGTGAGTTGTGGTTCTCTTCAGTACTTTTTATTTTTATGAATAAATCGGTTGGTTGACCTTTTGTCACCAATGTAGAGAAGAAACGCCCTCCATCAGCAAAGTGCCTTCAGCAGCCTGCCACATATCACCACAGGATGACGGAATTTATATTCATATTTCTCATTAAACGACGCCTTAGAACCAGTTTTATCGATCCTAACGAATTTCGCCCCCATGCACTAAAAGTGAAAAAGCGCATAGAGCAGCACATAGAGCAGCATTCATCTCGTGGGATCGCCACCACGCGTAGGTGATTCGCTTTGCCCGGCCTCTGTTTCAGGAGCGCCTGGGGACGCGGCAGCGTGTGATTCGGGGGATTTCCGCTGTGGAGATGGCCGCTGTGTGCCCCGCACAGCACTGTGTGACCACAAACCCGACTGTCTGGATGGAGCCGACGAGGCCAGATGTGGTCAGTACACCTGCCATTATCGCTGCCTCGATCTCTCGCTCTCGCTCTATCCCTCTCTCGCCTCTCTCGCTCTCTCGCTCTCTCGCTCCCCTCTCTCTCTCTCTCCCCCCCCCCCCCCCTCATCTCTCTCTCTCTCTCTCTCTCTCTCTCTCTCTCTCTCTCTCTCTCTCTCTCTCTCTCTCTCCTCTCTTCTCTCTCTCTCTCTCTCTCTCTCTCTCTCTCTCTCTCTCTCTCTCTCTCTCTCTCTCTCTCTCTCTCTCTCTCTCTCTCTCTCTCTCTCTCTCCTCTCTCTCTCTCTCTCTCCTCTCTCTCTCTCATCTTCTCTTCTCCTCTTCTCTCTCTCTCTCTCTCTTCTATCTCTCTCTTCTCTAATTTTGTCCCCTTCTGATTAGTTTTGGTTAGGTTGAATTAGAAAGCATAGAACCGGCTCGTAGCTTTTGAACTGGCGGATTTCAGGCTGTTAGAATAGATTACACACCTAGCTTTGGTTGACTTCCCTAACCTGAACATTTGCTTGCGATGGGAAACGAGTTGATGTTCCTAATAAAAAGCGCATTTTCACCACCTACCAAGACCTTGGTAAGAACTACCTGCTGCTACGTATAACGTATGCAACTCAAGAAAAAAAACACCCAGTTCCACACAAAGGGTCCTACCGAATGCCGTCCTACATGTTCACACATATTTAGATGATTAACGTGGTCCTCTGTATAGCAATGGAATCATGTTTCCCATGTTGTTTTCATTATTTGAAAGACTTTTTTCACAATTCCTTCTATCCCATCGTCTGATCTACACCCCTGACGTGTGTTTCGGCTGCCTGCTCGCCCGACCCGCGCTCCCTGTCAGCTGCCCGACGATGCGCTTCACTCCCTGTCAGCTGCCCTGACGATGCGCTTCACTCCCTGTCAGCTGCCCGACGATGCGCTTCGTATGCTGCTCCATTAAGCCGTTCAGCTTCATTAAGTCTCGCTCAGAGCATTAAGCGCGAGCGAGGCAGGATCCGGCCGTGAACGTTCCTGTTACGGGAATCTGTTCCTGTTAACACGCGCCCGGGCTGCCGGCTGGATAGCCTTCGCTCGGGTGGAGGGGGGGGGGGTTAATTTGTCCTCCCCCGCTGAGATCTCGAGAACTAAGTGAGCTAGCGTCACTAAATTTACAGGGTGTGTTGTCCTGTACGTGAACTCCCTTAGGTCAAAGCTCCAGGTTCGTAGGTCATGACCTTCGGGTCAGATAAGGTCAAACAAGGTCAAATTCCAGGTTGGTCTCCAGAGTGCCCCCAGAACCTAGATAACCGCTTCTAAGCAGAGAGCCACATGTTCATTCAAGGTCAGTGATCTTTAAGCGACAAAATTATGCCAGACGGTATGTTCCTTAAAAACAACATGTTGAACTGGGTCATCTCAGGTCAATGAGCTATTCTGACCTCTATGAAGTCCATGGAAGATGTATAATGCGGTTCCTACTACAGATAAATTCGAAATGAGCACCAGAAACTATCTCATGCAGAAAGCCCCAAAGTAATAAAACAGACTGTGTTTGACCTTGGTCTGACCTTCATGCCTGACCTTAGGTCAATGTAATTAGCCCATTCAACTGTTATGTTGCTTGAGAAAGCATCTCAGAAATGTATGGATTCGTCCAACACTCTGTTGTCGCAGCAGATTGAACGATTCCCAGAAATTGACTTCGCTGAAACCATGGCCTGACTTTGGTCTGCCATGAGATGATGCCACAAGATAGGTCAGCGACCTTACAAGGTACATCCACATTTGTGACGCCAAACGATCCGCTATTCAATTGTCTACAGCTATGCAAAATTTGGTGCAGCTACGCCGCGTCGTTCAGAAACCATCTTGGAAAAATCTTCGGGGCGTCAATATAACCCCCCTCAACGGAGCGCATGTTCACGTTCACTGCTTCGGGGCGGGCTGAATCTGCGGGCGTCGCCGGCGGCGGTGACCGGGCCGAAAGAGTCCGGTTACAAGCCGCTCGTGCGATCTGTCGGATTCGGCAGCGGTTGGGGCGGCGACGACCCAGCTGAGGGCGGCATTTGCATTTAGATGTGCGGATTGTAGTGCGGCTTGTTCCAGGGAACAGTACCATGGCATGCTTTGGTTGCGTTGCAATAGCTCACGTTTTCTCGGAATGGTTTGTAAAACTCGTCGGCATTCGAGACGGCGGTGTTGCGGTGTGATTTCAAATGTGAACCCGTGAGTATTGAGCATTTATTATCCAGCAGGGAATATTCACAGGAACTGGAAGACTGAATGCTTGATTTTACTCGTGAAGATTTTGTTATTTCTAGAAATATCCGTTTTCCTGTGCTTACTTCACAGGATGTTAAACCAGCACGCGCACCACGTTTGTGAACACTTACCTCCTTTGTCCCGCTACCGGAAGAAGTCGTTACGGAATACGCATGTGTCCACGGCATTACATGTAATAATGCGTGGGGTATCTGACAGTTCTCACTCCACAGAATCGGATCGGAACAGAGTAGCGTCACGGACTTTTCTTTTCATCGCGTGTCATTCCGCATTTTAGTATCATTATCTCTTAAAATTGCTGTTATTGCTTGGTAACGCATAACATTTTATGTCGAGCGCCAGCTGCTCGACTGACCGAGTCGACCTGCTCCAGCCGCGCCGGCCTGCGCCCCACACCAATGGCGCTGCTCCAGCGGCCAATGCGTGCCCGCGAGCGCCCGCTGTGACCTGCGCTTCGACTGCTACGACCGCTCGGACGAGACACAGTGCGGTGAGTCTGTCCTCTCCGCGGAACGGCTTTAATGCATCGTAGATGTTCCCCACGGGTGACCTTTGGCTCAGAGTCCGCCTCTCCTTGCGACGCATGGCTTCTTGAGTTCATCTGAACTCCATTACCGAGACACTGCGATTCAGTGTGAGTGTCTGATTATCTCCCCGATGCCAACCAGCTTGCCCTGAAACAGGTTGGTCTGTGCCGGGTTTGGTAGCTCATCTGCGTTGTGCCGGGTCCAGTAGTCCTTCCGGTCCGTGGCGGTTCTGGTGGTCCGTCTGGTCCGTGCCGGGTCTGGTAGTCCAACTGGTGCGTGCATGGCCTGATGATCCATCTGGTCCATGATGGGTCTGGTAGTCCGTCGGGTCCGGTGGCTCATCCGGTCCGTGGCGGGTCTGGTGGTCTATCTGGTCCGTGTCGGGTTTGGTGGTCCATCTGATCCGTGCTGGGTCTGGCGGCTCATCTGCTTCGTGCCGGGTCCAGTAGTCCGTCCGGTCCGTGGCGGGTCTGGTGGTCTATTTGGTCCGTGTCGGGTCTGGCGGTCCATCTGATCCGTGCTGGGTCTGGTGGTTCGTCTGCTTCGTGCCGGGTCCAGTAGTCCGTGGCCGGTCCGTGCTGGTGGGTCCGTGGGGTCTGGCATCTGATCCGTGCTGTGGTCTGGTGGTTGTTTTCGTCTGCCTGTTCCAGTGCCGGGTCCAGTAGTCCGTCCGTGGTCCGGTGGTCTGGCGCGGTCATCGTCCGTCCGCGGGTCTGGTGTCTATCGTCTGTCGTTCGTGGCCGGGTCCAGTAGTCCGTCCGGTCCGTGGCGGGTCTGGTGGTCCATCTGATCCGTGCTGGGTCTGGTGGTTCGTCTGGTCCGTGCCGGGTCCAGTAGTCCGTCCGGTCCAGTAGTCCGTCCGGTCCGCGGCGGCTCGACCGTCTCAGGCGGCTGCCATCTGGCCTTTTTTGCACGGGTTGAACCAGTAGTGGACCGCAGCGCGCGCCGCGCGCGTTGCGTGACTCGTGACTCGTGACTCGCGCCGAAAACCATGACTTCAACACCTCATCCCGCATCAGTCGTCTGTGGTCGGCCGCACCTGTGTAAGACCGAATATAACGAGCAGTGCTATGGACAAATGAAGCTGGTCATTGCAGTCACTCCGCGTCATCTTTCTGTAAGCACGAGTTACCCAGGCTTATGACTCGCAATGCGGTTCGAGCGGCCATGATGGGCGTCGTTCGAACTAGTTTCAAAGCGTGAGGCGCAGGGTATGACGTGCATTATAGCTAGTCACTCGTATTCCTTCTGGGCAGACGGTTTGTGTGCAACATTTTGGCAGCTGGGGTTAAGCATTTGGTCTCGTTTCGACATTCGAATATTGGAGTAGTACTACGCAGAGGTTGCATTGGGGTATATCGAATTTTTGCTTCAATCATGGCACATATTCACGCAAATCTGTAGGAGATGCATCACGTTCACAACACTCACGCATCCATGCAGTTTCAAGCGTATTGCTAATTGGAAGTGCATCAGGTCGAGCAGGCAGATAGTTGCTCAAGCCAGCAAGGGCCTGCACTGGTGGCAATCAAGCCCTCTTAGCTTGGTTGCCACGGGTGCAAATAAGTCAACCTGAAGGAAATAGATCATGCGCTAAAATTTTCCATTCCTCTTAGCCTTCCGCCACATGTGCAAATTAGACAGCCAGAAGGAAGTAGATATTATGCTACAATGTTTTTTAAGTACAAACATGTATAAATGCACGATGTTTTCCCTGATTCGCACGCCGCACGATTCTTTGTGAGAACCTTGGACCTTTACGAGATGTTTCTGAAATGTGGTGTCTTCAACGTTAACGTCATGTAAACCTGATGAGTGCATTGTCGTACTTATTAGTATAACTACGTCCCTGAGAATGTCAAGTGTAAATGAATAGTATATAGCATAAATATCAATGTTGAAATGCACAACTATACATATATACTAGCATTTAGTATCAATATAAATGTTAAGTACAATTATGAGAACATTTAGTATACTAGCATAAATACGTCCCTGAATGAGCAATGCCGATTATAGGGGTTAAAGTGGGATCCAAAGGGGACAACCCGCCCTGAAACTGAAACTTATGAAAACGTAAAAAAACGCACATTTCGCGGGAAGAAGTTGAAGGACCATGCCATTTCGTAGAATGTAGAATATGTCGCCTCCATCCTCGTTTTTGATTACACCCATAGTTGTGCTTACTTCCTACCAAACAAGCATACCAGTGTAATGATGGGCCTGCATTGTGGTGCAGTATTTGTTTTGCATGTACCGCATAACTTAGACGCATGTTGCGATATTTACATCAACCGTGCAAATACGCACTTAGAACAATTGGTTATGATACTGTCTGTGATATGTCACAGCTTTATGACTGCCTTTGCCATCTTATGGTTTATTACTCTCTCTGTGCGGTTTAAAGCTATATTACGATTACGAAAAGTGGCTAGAAGTGATGCTTGAATCAGTCACAACTATTTCTCCTTAATGTGAATTCTTTTGAAAGGTGCCCTTGTGAAGCCTGTCTCCTTAAAACTGGAAAAAATGCAATGGTACCTGGGAGGTTTAAGCCAAGTGTTGAATGTTCTTCAACAAGCGTCCATTTATGGCGCTAGGCATTATCTAATGTTTCCATTCATCCGGCGACAACTGAGGGGGCATTGAAATCTTAACTGGAACATTTCAATAATTTAAATCCAACTGCCCCGCTCCGTTGTGAATGAGAAGAGGTTTAAGATGAATGCGTTTTAAAGACGCAAACAAAGGAGCGATCTGTCGCTCCATTTGTCATTTTTCTTTAATGTATGCAATGAATTGTTAAAAAGGCCATTTATCGCCAAAAAACATTGGACACCGTCTGCGCCATCGACGTAGTGTGAACATTGCTAGGCACGAAATGCGTTCTGCAGGTAACGCGCTGCGTGGCAGGACGTGCAAGGAAATATGTGATGTAGTCATGCTGTACGATCACCCACTGCTCTTCGGGAGCCGTTCATGTTTTACTACGCAGACTAGGCTGAAGCAGATTAGGCCAACTTTTGCTCATCATTATGGAAACAAACAATGAGGGAAGTAGTGGAATTGAAGTACCATTTAAGAAATTTGATTTTGAAGTCGAGCGGTGAAGATCGTAGGTACCTGTTTTACTCACATGATTTTCATGGTGCTCCCACCCCAGAAAGCTGACTGCGGACCTGCCCCTGCCTCCGTGGGAAGGTGCCCCGTCTTCATCGCACCCTACCTCAGCGAGCTGGCGGTGGGCCTGTCCCTGCCGCTGCGGGAAGGTGCTCCGTTTCCAGTGCACGCCACGACAGTGGCTGTTCTTTGACCGTGCTGGGCGTAACAGTTCTCTGCAGCCGCCGACCCCAGCACCTAGCTCCGTGCCACGTGTCGCGACTCGGGAGACACCGTTACGCTCACACCCTGATTACAGTCCCCGTGGAATCACAGTCACTTTATCACAGTCACTGGAATCACAGTGGCTGGAATCAGTTGCAGTCCCTCTAGCGCTGTTGCTGGTAAAGCCAGCGGCTTCAGGCCGGGCTGCCGGTAGTTGGCTCTGTCGGCAGACCGTCCGTCGCGTTCCGCCCGGTCAGGCTGCGTCCTGCACCTCAGCGGCCTTTGCTTGGTGTCAAGTGGTGCTGTGGGCTCGGTGGCGCCAGTGTGGATCATTACGATTACCACGGTCGGTTTGAGGCACAACATTTATACACAAATATCGATATCAGCACCTGTGAGGAGAGACTGATATGGCCCTATGACCCAAATAATGGTATGACCCTCAGTGCGGTTTAGGTGTGTGTTTTCAAGCGTTTAAAATCTGTTCCTGGCGTTGTAATACAGGTACAGGATTGTAGTAACAAGACGATAACAAAGTGCATAGATGTGTTAAATGTCCGCTGATCATCACTCATGACAATGGTTGGTAGGATTGTGGACTTAAGGTTGTCGTAAAGGTATATAATGTCAGACGCTAATCTTTTCAGAATCCTGCTTTCAGTGATTTAAGGTTATTTATAGGTTATTCAACAGAAGCCTCTGAGGCATCTGAAGACCCCATTGCCTAATTTCCCAACCGCCTGGCTAACGACCTGTTTCCTCAGAAACACCTTTCATCACTTGCCAGGAAGGCTTTAGCGTCGGTTAGCGTGAAACCGCGCTCATCGAAGTTAAATGGCCGTGCTGTTTTCGGCGCTACCGTTCAGCATGTTAACGTTTAAGTGAATGTTCCACATTTGTATGGCCTTTTGAGCTGAAATAGCCATATTGAGGACATTTTGATGCAGTTCACGAATATGCCCTTTTTAAGACCTAAAGCGCTCTGGTTCCTGAGTTACACGCCCGCAAAGTACGGAAGGGCATGTTTACAGCCAACTTCAAAATCGCCTTCTGATTAATAACGCCATAGAAACGTTATGAGATCCCTGTGATATTACAGGCTGTTTTTCGTTTATGGCCAAAACGGCATGGCCGCTGATACATTTGCAATGGCATGATGCTGCACATATGGTGGTACAGTTCACGTAAGATGATTGGCTGTCAGTAAGATTTTACTGCTGAATGCGTGTCGCGAACAATTTCGAGCGCGAGCAATTTCGGGTTGTGCAACATTCGTCGTGAACGGGTCATTTTTCCTTATTTCTAGGCCACTAAGCTATAGAAAATTATATATCAATGTTATAAGAAGGAACGCCACTGCCTGCAAACGAAGTACGGCACCCAAAAAATTGGCACTCTCCCGAAGTTATAAAAAAGAAGATGCAACGGCAAATCTGTCTTCTTCTCCCGCTGGTGTTTTTTTCTTCTCCTACTAACGTATCTTTTACAGACAGCTCTGTTGGTGCCTTGTGTACCGGAGCACAGAACCTTGCACGGGTTTATGGGTTAGCAAGGCATCGTGAAATTAGGGAAACATTACAGCAATTTTAGATACATATTTATCTAAGTATTTACACACATGGTATGACAAATTTAGAAC